CAGTGAACATTCAGCAGTTTTAAGTCCAGGCTTTTTGCTTCACTCCTGCAAAGTCTCTGAGGCCTCCCCAAATGTCCTGGTGGGACCACCTCTTGCTTTCCAAGTGAACCGGCATCCGTTTTGTAAAGAAAGGCGGCAGCTCAGGGTGATGACGCAGAGATGTGAATGATGGACATACTGACCATGTACAACAGAAATCTCTTTTGTTAAACACCAGCCATGGACCCAAAACCAATTTGCACTTTTTCAGAAAATTGTTGTATGGCACACTACATGTTGTAGTGGCATTAACTTTCCCCTTGAAATGCTAGTTTCCCCTGTCTCTTCTCTTGAAGATAGCCATAAGGATTTGCATCTGGAAAGGTTGAAATAATAGCTGTGCATGTCCCAGGTGCCGGATTGGAGTGAAAAGCTCTGAACTCTTTTTTTTTTTGTTTGTATTTTTATATATTTTTTAATTTTTTTTAATTTTGATGTTCAAGTGCTGTGTTTGGTCATGTGATCAAAACAAACAAACAAAAACAATCTTAACCAGTGAATAGCCTTTTGGTCATGTGATTAAAATAAAGCACAAAACTTCCTCACCCATGTCATTGTCCTCAGACTCATTTCTTTGTCACACTCATACACGCATACACGCATACACTCCAACATTCACAACACCACTATGACATTTGTGGACAGTAACATAAACAAAGTAAATAATACATTTAAAAGACTCATATTTACAAGCATACATCCAAAAATAATCATGCCTGTCTGCCTTTTGTGAGTCAAATTACCCAAAGCAAAATGCTATCCCATTGGAAGAAAACACTAGTAGCAGGTGATCCGGATCTTATCTTTCTAGTTTAGCACCATTGGGCAGTAGAAGGCGAGGGGTATCAAACCACCCAAAACCCAGAAAGAAAACATCCACGTTTCAGGTGAGACCTGCCCAGTTTTTGGTGTATCATTCTGAATGGATGCTTAAAGGAAAACTGGAGGTTTATACGTTTTTACATTAGAATGGGCCGCATCATTGCTTACTAAGGGTATAAGCTGAAGCACATGGGAATAAGTGCCACTGAACTCAGCAGGACTTACTTGAGAAAGCATTCATAGGATCAGTTTACACATCTCTGAAAAGGATCCTTAATGATGTTGGACACTTGGATCAGTAGGGACCTATTATGAAACAAACTTAGAAAATCGTGGGTGATCAAAAGGGCAAATTTTATTTGCTCTACTGAGACTTCTGTCATTGCATGTAAGATTCGAGGAGAATGAATACTGCATCACTGAATCTCATCCGTGACTAGGTGCCCTATGTTAAGTCTACATTAGCCAAAACATAATGAACTGAGCTTGATATAATAAAGGAGGGGGAGAGGGTTCCTCATATCCTTCCCTCACTAGCTACCCCAGTAGTCTCTTATTATCATAGGCTTTGCAATATAAGGGTTCATTGGCATTTAATGAGTTACGTCACAACATCCTAATACTAATAGTTTGCTTAAATTCATTATGTATTCTGAATTAAGCTGTTTCAGGCAGTGCTTTTCAGTGCCTGCTGTGAGAAGTCCAAACATTTTTTTCTTCTTCTTTTTTCTATAGCAGCAATACACAATGCTGAACTATTTCTTGGAGAGCTAGACTGCATTCAAAAATAGCTGTTTGGAAATGTCCCATTGGAAGGAACCCAACTCCTAGGGATCCAGTTTGATCATAACCCATCTCGACTTTCATACAGTGATGTGCATACATCCCTTTCCCCCACCCACTGCCCCTGAGCAAAAAATCTCAGGAAACTATACCAACAGGAAATTATACTTCATGAAATTATACCAACAGGAAATTATACTTCATGAAAAGTAGCTTTGTCATGCACTTCTCTGCTCTGTGTCTCCAGCAGAGAGGAATTGTGTATAACGAAGTATGTGGCTTTGTGCCATAGCAGGTCATCTAAGAACATCGCCCTCATAAAGCATAATGGGAGTTAAGTGTCTGATCACAATAAGCAACAAATAAGTAAAGGTCTGGCTGATTTCAGTGGGCTTAAAGAGGAACATTTTGGGGGACACATTGATGAAGTTGCCCTTTGGTTACAGGTAGAGATTCTACACAAAAGCACCTGCTAGATTGCCTGGAGAGGAAAGAGATCTGGACTGGAAAGATTTCTCTCAGATAGGACCATGCTTGAGCCACAATTCTCTTGCAACATACAATCATCTGTATAACTTGATTATTATGAAGTTCATATTTCAGGCCAAGGATTTTACTTTTAATCTCAAAGTGTTAGGAACTATTTTGTAAAATCAAAAAAGAAAGCTGGTGTTTTTCATCTTCTGATTGCTTACTGATTGGTAAAACAGATTGGTAAAGAAAGATGAACAACGCCATCTTTCTTTTTTATTATACCGTTCCTAATACAATAATTTTATAGATTAACATTGCTAACATTCCTTCCTTTTCAGCTTCTAACACAAATCTTTATAATATAATAGAGCATAGTGAAATCCATATGCGGCATAAATCCATTAAATGGCAGGTGCAACCATATCTAGACTTCTACTCAGTTTCTTTTCTATTGTTAGAGTCTATTCTTTCCCAGAGCAAAGAGCAGTAGGGACTGGGATACATGAGTCCTCCCAGGGTGCCAAGTGTAATGCTGCTCTCTTCTCCCAAACAATGGAAAGACCTACTCAAGACCTATTCAATTTCTTATCTTCAGCAGATACTGTAGGCACACTTTTGAAATAGTCAGTAAATATGAAAAGTTGCTTTCCCTGGACAAAAATGAAACCAAGAATTCAGAACTGTCCTGTTTAACTCATAGACTCTGCTAAATATATACTATATGCATTTTGCTTTTGAACAGCAGTGGGGTGAGATCTCTTAAAAGATCTTTGTTTTCAAGCATTTGGTTTGGTTCTCTTTCTCATTCGAAGGTATTTCAAAACACAAATTAAAAACTTAAAATGAAAACTGCTGGATAGCATTATTGCCAAACACATGTCTTTGTTCTGGCAGAAAGGCCTGGAACAATTCAGTCCTTCAGAAGAAGAGAACCATAAGAATGACCGAAATAAGTGATGTCCAAACTATCATCTCTTTTCACTAGATTTAAAGATTAGGTCACGTCCCTTCAAGTACCAATTCTCTGCAGACATATCTTCTAATCAATCACATCATTCCGGTATTTGTTTTCCTTTCAATAAGGCAGCATTTTTCTACATTATTATGTAGCAGCTTTTCATATTCCCCAAAAATAAATACACTGTGAGCAGTAGTGACAAATTTCTGGGATCTACTTTTTTTAGACAGCTCTCATACTATAAGGAGCATGCACATCCCAAATTTCCTCCCCATTCCTCTCTACTGAAGCTTTATCGCCAATCCTTGTTTTCACAACAGGTCCAATTTTTCAAAATTCAATTATCACAGGGACAGAAAGTAAGGTGAAACCTTCTGAACAAAAGCACAGGCTGCAAAACAAATACCACAGGGGTGTTATCCCTTCTCTATGCTATCTAAAGGGATAGTAATATGACTAACATATTTGTATCTTTCTATACTCCTGACAGTCTTCTTTTGTTGAACTTGATGGCATACTGTGGGAACTATAATATGTTTTATTCTGTGGCATGCAGTCTTCAAATCCTAAAGAAGATAATTCAAGACCACTGCAGGCCCAGGGAGTCTTATTGTAAATCTTCTCATAGATTTCAATTTCCTGAGTTATTATCCTTTATGCAGTGTATGCTCTCAAATACATTTATATCGAGCAGTTAAGACATTTGTGTAATTTAGTGCATACTCAGCAAGCTGAGAAGGCATGTATGATGAGTGCTTTTGAAAAGGTTGAAGCGCTTCAATCTATAAGTGCTAAAGAGAGAAAGAGAGAGAAAGGCAGTGTAGTTTAAAAAGGACCAGAAAAGCTGATCTCTGTGCAACCTTGGGCTAGGGACTGTTCCCTTCTTTGGGATTCAGGGTTTAAACCCATGAGAAGTGCTAAGATTGGGGAGCTTAAAATTTCCATGGCATCTCATCTTATGCATCTTCATTCAAGCTTTCATGTATGCATTTCTCACTGTTCTTGTACTCTGCAACTTCAAAGTAGGAAGGCAAACACTGTATTGACTAACATAGGCAAGACCAACACTGCTGCATTTAAAAACTTGGCTAGTTGTTGGGATTCATATGTCAGCTCTTATATATAATAAGTGCTAGAATTGAAAAGGCTGTAGGATCTATTCGTTTGTGGTGGCCTCACTTGACTCTTCCCCATTTACTAATATTCATCCTATCCATAACCAGTATTTCTGTCAAAAAGTCAGTTCAGAAAAAAAATCAGAGGGTATATTTTTAGCTGCTTTAATGTAATGGAACAACTGTATTTGTTGGTGGTTGGCTCCAAATCTTCTATGCTGAAAATTTCAAATAAATACTTGGCCTTGGGTCTGCTATAGACTCCCCTCCAGCCTGTCACCACCACCCCTGGGTTCCAGACTCAGGCTAGGCATTTCTGAAGTGTTACATCATATCACACAGCAGCTCCCTAGACAGCCCAAGCAGAGATGTGGAGAAACAAGCCCTAGAGCAGCAGGAACAGCTGAACTCTGGAGAAACAGGGATCCTGATTTCATACTGTCATGAAAACAGCAAAAGGGAAGTAAAAATGCCACAGTGTTTATTCCAGTCTGCCTGCTTCAGAGCTAATTCTTATTATCCTGTCTCTTCTTTCCTCTTTCAGGAAAAAAATCAACTGCAACTTTTGCATCATAAATTAGTTGGAGTAATATGATGAACAGTCTGCAACAACAAGTTCATGTTTTAATATAATCCATACTTTGACTTCACAAATAGAAGCATGTTAGTCTACTTTTCAAGTGCCATAAGGGGTCACCTATTCAATTTAAAGAGCTTTCTTCTATTTAACTTGTCTCTCTATTTGAATAGATAGGATGCTTTGCATGAAATCTACTGTATATGTCATCTCGCCTGTCAAAGTGCTTGAGAACAATGTTTCAGTGGCTATCCTGGTCTATAATGTGGTTTCTTATAGTCCTAACGGAACAAGCTTTTGTCCCATTCACAAATGAAAATTTAGTAGAGAATGGCTCAACACTGATCTTTCGCTACAAGCAAAGGTTTTTAGTTCACATTCTAGATTTGAACACGTAACCATTAATGGGTTATATTTTGGGTTTCAGTTTGCAGGATTATCTATCTGAACTTAAAATCCAAGCTGTAATCACTAACTTTAAACAACAGTTGTTATGGGACCATTAAACATAATAATTTCTTCCACCTAACCTTTACTGCTTGCCAATCCAACTCCTTGAATTTCAAGATTATATGCCACATGCCCAGTCTAAGCCCTGACTTCCAAATAGCTTATTATGAGTTAATGTTCTATTTCCTTAAGCCATATGTTTCATTCTCCTCTGTCATCCTGTTGTTTCAAATAGTAGAAGCAGAGCTAGAGACTCTGTGCTGGAAGTTCATATAGCAGAGTCATGGAAGTTTGGAAATGGGTTAAAATCTACTTAAGTGCATTTAATTAAAAAAACATCAGTTGACCAGTGGAGCAGGTAAAAACAAGAGCAGCCTATGCCACTATTCAAAAATGGCTGTGTTATTAAGGAACTGGCAGTATAAAGGCAACAATACACTACCCAGTTTAAAAAAGAAACCTCAAGCCATCTAAAGGAAACTAGTGGTCTAATCTAGTTCGGCTGTTAGCAAAGGCTAATCGCCAGTTCTGTAGTATTTACATTCATGGATATATATTCCTCCCACTGAAATATTAGTCAAAAGTGGTCCTTTAAGTATAACGGTTCTGTTGCTATAATAAATAAAAGTAATTTTGTTTTCCTCAACTGCATCTTCTAGAAACTTTTCTTGCAGTGATGCAAAATATAGTACTTCAGAAGGGCAGAAGGAGGAGGAAACCTACATGGGTCCAATCTTTCCCAGGATCTTTTCCCTACTGCTTTAAAAATGGGTTCTGAATTGACAGATGTGTCTTGAATTCACTGTGTTGGGTTCATCATTTTTATAGACAATGGAGATGAAGAATGTTGGATCCTATCTGTTTGGAGCATCCAAGTCAGCTAGAACTGGCAGTTTAACTTCCAGTTAGTCACTTATTTCAACACCCGTGTAACTACAGACTACACCTCCATTCCTTCACCATCTCTTGCAACCATGCAGTCAATGCAGGAAAGCATTTAAGTGGATGTCAGTTTGCATTTTTGGAGCTTTCCATCTCTTCGGGGTTCTGTCTCTCAAAAGGCAGGCAGGTTCAGCAACCCTCCGATTCCCAGACTATATTCTCCCTCCCCCTCCCAACCAAAAAACAAAATGCCAAATCTTTCCCAAACTGGCTAGTTTCCTTCTTCATCTTAATACAAAATATTTACCTCTCCTCCCTTTTATCTGTTATAGCTCCATACAACATTTTATTTAACTTAATCACAATCTAGGAAGCTTTCACTGTCTGTAAACGGGTCAAAGGTCTTCTCTCTTTCTGATGATCTTTTTCATGATAGAACCCATTTTTTTGCTTCCCAGATCAAGAGAGAAAGGGAAGAAAGAAAGGATGCCAGTAAAAGTAAAGCTTGAGCAGTAATGGGTCAAATGAAGGGTTTTGGAGGAGAAGAGAAGAATGCTTGATTCATATTTGCCTCAGGGAGGAAAGTATTGATCCAAGCCAACTCATCCACTTTCCAGAAACGTGACGTCTGTTTTGATTATTGCACAGCGCATGATGTCACTTCAGAGATTTTCAATACAATTCTATTCATCTTGTTCTTTTCCCACAATCATTTGCTCTCCAAAAATGTTTAAAATGCTATTTGTCAGGGTGCATCATTGAAGCAGGAATCCAAAGTGATCAAAAGAAGGGAGTGACAGGGCAAGTAGGGGGTTTAAGAGCATCCACACCTGTCAACAACCATGCCAGGAATTTTGCCATAGATGATCTGCTGTTTGTCATTGAAGTACAGCATGTTGATGGGGGACATCTTGGTTGGTGTGCAGCAAGGCCCGGCAGACCCCCGTGGATTGGCTTGTTGTACCAAATGGGTGTGAGGATATTTTTGCATGAACATGTATTCACACTGGCCTGAACAGTAGTTGGCTTTGTACCGCTTGGGGGCGATAATCCAATCCCAGCCAAAAGCCTCAAAGTCAACCGTCAGTGGGTAACGGCAGCAACGGGACTCAGTGGAGTGTTCATCACAGTCTAGTCCCAGATTCCGACGAGACCGTTTGTTGTTCTCCAGCACACGCAGCTCCATAAAGGGGTGCTAGGAGAGGGATCAAAAGGAAGAAAACACAGATGTAAATTCACAAATATGAAAATATCTTCTTATACACATTCAGATGGCAAGAGGTAACCGTGGAGGGAAAAAAGCACTCAGAGGTACAGTTTTGAAGCACATCAGATCTATTAACAAGTTACCCATTATCCATTTTCCTAGACCCATCTGTCCATCTCTCTCTGACTCTGTATATACTTTAAATCAATCTCAGTTTAGATTCATTTATCCAATTCTGTTCAGCCCATTCCTTATCTTTCCTGACAAGGGCACTTCTAGCCCTAATTTTCCTTATCCTAGAAGTCAAGCATTCATCCACTTCTCAGAAGTAATTTTTATTTTTTTCCTATTAGAAAGATTGTTTACTTTAAGCAGTCATTATTAAACCCGTTGTCTGGAATTAATTATCACAGTTATGTATGTGTAATCTAGAGCTATACGTTCATAAATGATTCATATTCCCAGTCCCTACATCTATAATAGTGTAGGGAATACATTCAAATTGTAAAAATCCCCCAATCCTGATTTACTGTGCAGCAGCCACTGAGAGCAGGTACAAGTGACAGGGGTCTGTTTTTCCTGTAGATCAGGATGTAGCAGACTGAAGTTCCCATTCCTCTCCAGAGTGAAGAGGAGTTGCAACAGGGATCCTGCTTCTGTCACACACACAGATTGCTTGCAGAATGACAAAGAGAACATCAGTCTTCTGTTTTCCAATGGACAGGAGACCAGATCCTTGTTACTCAAAGCAGCTGCTGCCCAGTAATTGGAGCAGGAAGGACCAGGGGATGCCAACCAACTATGTAACTATGATAGTTAAGTAGCTTATCTAGAATACTGGCTATTTAGATATTTCTTAAGGAAATGAGTCTACTAAAAAAGACAAAATGCACTAAGATCTTTGATTATCAGCTGCTGCCAGAATATTTAGAAATCATCTAATGTTGATTTCTGCTTTAGATAGCTGAAAATGTGAAATATAAGAAAATTATATGGAAAATATAGGGAGTAAATATAGTTATATGACTTTTTAATTAAAAAATTTAAAAACTCAAATCCAGTTGTTGGTCCCAGTGACTGCGGAGCTATTGAATCAATAAGAATTTGGTAACACTGACACATCTTCCATTTATCCATTGTGTCAGTTGTATTTGGCACTAAAATTGGATGTAGGTCTTTGCACTTTTGTTACAAAAGGATATGTCACTATTTAAGATAATTAGAGCTTTTTAGAAAACCATTTAGAGATGTGTGCTGAACAGAAATGCTTTCAAGATACATCACAAAATACAAATAAAAGATAGTAACCTATGTGTATAGATAGGTTTTGTACACTTAAAGTAAAAGGCCTAACAAAAACCATTTGATTCATTACATGAAAAAGTAGTTTAAGATGGACAGCAGAAAAGGTGAAATGATCCAATAGGTGAATCCAGTAATTTTAACACATTGGGTTTTTTTAATTTTTCACAAAATAATTGAGTTAATTAAGTCAAGGTATTGTTAATAGCCATTTTGTCAGAGACAGATGCTACATGACTAAACTAGCATATATTGGAATGCAGCTGTTCTAGTTCTACTTATGTGAATACCACTCCAGGTTTTATGCAGTACTGGACTAAAACCTTGTCTAAGTGAAGATATTGAGTTTTAACTGGGGAAAGTGTGGAATTTTTAGTTCACTTTTCTCTAAAGATGGGACTGAAGGGGCCATTTGTACAAGGCCAGTTGGAGAGTTTTGAGTGGAGCAGAGATCAATAGTAAGTATCGAAGTATACAGGTCTTAACAGTTTATTAAAAAGTAGCAACTGCTTGTCACTCCGATAAGGATGAGATCAAAATAAGAGGGGGATGGCAGCTATGGAAGACTAGAACATTCTTCCCCCAGAAGACTTGGAGGCCCTTATCCCAGCACACCCACTCCTGGAAAAAAATCAGTGAGGGTTTTGTTTTCCCCCAAAATCCTTCCAAATGCCCTCTAGAGTGCATTCTTTATTTTTTTTTAATTTTTTAAAATGAGCCCTCAGATATCCCAGGGGCTTTGAACCAGTCAGAAATGTCCTTCATACCCCTTGAAGTCAGTTTAGAGTATTTTGGAGAAAGACAATATTGTAATTTTGCAAAATAATAATAATGGGAGGGGGCTTTTTTACACCCTAGAGAGCTAGGGAGCCACAAAAATGGCCCACCTCTGAAGTAAGAGGTGGGAAGAGTTCACCAGAAAAGCTAACAATGGCCTCCCTGACCCTCATACATTACAATTCCAGCCTTCTAGTAACAAGTAGGAAGCAGGAGGTGAAAATATAACATCAGTGTGGTATCTGCCAAGGTCCTCTGGAGTTCTCAGTGCAGATGTCATCATTTTTAATCTGGCTTTTTGGATAGAGACGGAGGCCCCTTCCACGCATCTAAATGAAATCTCACATTTTCTGCTTTGAACTGGAATATATGGCAGTGTGGACTCAGATAACCAGTTTGAAGCAGATATAGTGGGATTTTCTGCCTTGATATTCTGGTTTATATGACTGTGTGAAAGGTCCCAGAGTTTCAATGATCCTGGTGGCTTCTCACAAAACAAGGAGCTTCAGAGGCTATTCAGTAAGTCGAAGAGGGTGGTATGGGTCAGCCTAGCATAGTTGCTACTATGCTGCCTACTATGCCAACCAGAGCCATACAGGATTGCAGACATAACATTTCTTTGGCCTCCTACTCAAGGTAAGGGGCTAGGATGGGGAAAGAAGATGGCAAGGGACATTTCTCTTTACCCACCAGTCCTTCGGCTCCAGGCCCCAGAGAGGTGACAGCCAGATCATTGCCATTGGGATCAAAAGCGTTGATTTCAATACCCCAGTTGTTCTGGGGCTGCTTGAACCAGTTCTGCAGCACATGTTTGAAGTCAATGCTCTGCCAGTGGCCAATGCGTGAATTCAGGTCAATCTTGAGTGAGCGGATGCGGATGTGGCGGCTACCATCCTCTGTCACTGGCTTGAGGCGCAGGATCTGTAAGTAGACTGTGGAGGTATGCTGAACAGGTCTCAGGTATACCCATAGCTGCGCCTTTACTACCTTAGTGAACATAATCTTGGGGCTGAAGTTGAAGAAACAACAGTGTGGGTTGCCTTCAATCTGTACCACAGGGTCCGCTGGCAAAGAAAGACAAAGAGAAAAAAGTGAGCAGAACTTCTTTGCAGTCTTTTTCTCAATTGTTCATTAGGATTTCTGCTTAAGAAGCGATTTGTGTGACTATGATTACCACATAATAGTTATGGATGCTACATAGTAATGTTGTCTGAACCGGCTATCTCAAATCAGGTTCCATAGGTTTTGCTGTTGTTGTTTTATTTATTTGTTAATTTTTGTTGATTGGGTTAGTGCTTACCGCTAGTGGCAGTCAATAGAAATAGTAAGATACTCCTTAACTGGCTGTGTGAATTGAATTTATCAAATATTCATTCATAAATACAGCTTCTAGATATAAATTTAGAGATCACATTTTTATAGATTGCTTTTTTTTCTTCTATATCCCAATAATTTAAATACAGGAATTAATAAAGCACTGACACTCGAGTGAAGAATGCTTAGTAATAAAAAGTGGGATACTGTTATGTCCCTTGTGGATATTGAAATCTAAAGGGATAGACTGGGCAAAATCAACAGGCTGGTGTGCATAAAAATGTCAATTTCCAGTTCTTATGTTCTATAATAAAAAATCAGAAATCACTCATGTAGATTAGGACTTATAAAAAAAACCTTTTCCATTCACGGTCCATTTCTGCTTGAGAAATATTTTTGTGACCCCTTGCGTATAGGTTTATAAAATAGATATAAAAATCAAACATTTACTGATAATAAATCAGCATATGCAAATGCTTGCTGAATAAGTTAATTTCCCTTTTTATGAAGTACATCTGAAGCAATTTCTGCAGAGTCCACCTTATTGCTCACAGATTTATGTAAATGTCTAGGTAGCATTCACAAATGTTGCCATTTTTTGTGACTCCAACATTGAGTGAAGGGGACCTAATTTGGGGTCAGGACTCAGTTTTAAGAAGGAGTGGCCTAGATAAACACACACATATATACTGCTTCTTGAATAAGTTTTAAACTTGTTCTCCCTGTTGAGGTCCATGGCCTGCATCCTCAATCCCCAATTCACATTGATAGAAGGACCTGTGATTCCCAAAGGGTTGCTCCATTTTTTTTTCTTCTTTTATCAACACTAGAGTATCAACCAAGGCTCCAGAGCAGATTTCCAAAACATTAAAAGAAGACAGAATCATAGAATCATATAGTTGGAAAGAGTGGAAGCACCTTCCTGCTGGTGAGAACTGCACTCAAAATGGTCCCACTGGCTGAAGGAAATTCAGGATCCAACCCCCCCCCCCCCCCCGAACAACTCTTGCCAAGAAAATACCATGTTAGAGTATTCTTAGGACTGCCATAAATTGGAAATGATTTGAAGGCACACACCAACATAATTCTGCACTAATCTGTAGATATTGCATATTTGGTTTATACAAAAGTATACAATTATCCCTATTTCCTCTTTGAGTACATTGCTTATTGTCAAAGGTATATATTAGCTGTGGAACAATCAGCTCTTTAGCAAAGATCCATTGTGGTACACCTCCTATATTATTACATTACCAAATAACTCTGCTACTTCTTACTAGGAAGCGGTGTGTATCTACAAAGAAGAAAGCCCCACTGAATTAGACAGAGTTGTTTTCTGATCCTGTCCTCAGTATAGAGCTCACAGGGAAACAATACACCAGGGAGAACGCATTGGCAGAACCGCATAGGCAGAACTGTAAAATGAATGGAACTGGAAGCAGAAGCAGCTAAGGGAGCCAAACATGACCAGGGAATTTTGAAGGGCCTACCTAGTCCATTATTCCCAGACTCAAATAGACTGTCTTGTCTGTGTGTCTCTTAACAACTATTGCTTCTTCTTTTTTTAGAGCAGATACAAAACTTCTCAGTAGACTCAGTCCTATATTTCTAGAAACATATACTTAATAACATGTAGTAGAAATTAAATCAGATTTGTATCCAATTCAACTCACAGCACAATTATTTTATTTTATTTCATTGCACTGACAGAATGTCCCCACGCCTTCCACTACATATTTCTGAAACATATCTGATCCACAATAGAAGCTCCAGGAACATTCTTTGTCAAGCATAGAAGAAGCAAGGACAAGCTTGGTCTGCGTATCCAAGGATATGTAATGAGGATGGTGATAGCATGTCAAATGGGAAATTGTAGTGCTCAAATACAGGATTTTGTTTGCAGGGCTCTTCCACCTAAAAAGTCCCAAAAAATAGAAAACTAACAAGCCAGAATCTACCCTTTGCCATCAGCCTTTGTTTTCTATTTGCAATATGTTTTTACTGTGTGTCAGCAGAGTGCCTGTGGCCTTTGTGCAAGGCATGTTCTCAACACTATGATATGGTTGTCCCTGTCATCTCCAAAGAGAGCCCATTATCTGTTTAATAGCTCCCAGAAATGCTGTTCAGTAGTCTAGCACACAGAACAAAGATGTCCCAGCCAACTATAAAAGAGAGTGCAGCTGGCTGAAAAACTTAGCAGAATGTACTAGCTCTTGTATACTGATAGATTGAATATTCAGAATCTCATTGGAATGATTCAAAATATTTCTTTCCATTGACCTCAGGCAGTTCCGCAGTGAACATTGTCCCTGGTCCAGCCAGTAGGAGGCAGACACTCCAAAAAAATCCTGAAAAGGTGGAAACTGAGACCACTCCCTCCCTACTAAAGCTCCATTGTCCTGCCTTTAGAAATGAAGGCCAACTGTTCAGCAAAGAAAACTTTATTTAACAGTTTCATCAGAGTTAACATGATCAGACCAATAATGAGGAAAAAAATCTGTCACTGAAACATACGGCAGGTTTATGGGGACAGTCTATTTAACAGTCTGTGGAATAAAGTGATATGACAACTGTCCCCAGCCTTGTACTGCAGTAACTACCATCTGAGAATTTCTTCATAAACTATATGAGAAACTGATTTGGGCCAAGTGTCAGATTGTCTTTAAACTTTCCATGATTACAAATTAATCTCTTTTATTGGAAGGCAGTATATTGCCATCTGCCTTGCAGTGGGAGGATGTGCTCTATGTAGCATATCCTTCATGGAAAGCAATGTGGCACAAGATGGTTATTTAGCTGGTTGCCCTAAAAACATGGTCTAGCACATGATTTGTGTGTTATTTAATCCAGCCAATTTACAAATACATGCTCTGAACATAGGTATCTCTTACATTATCCGCTCTAAGACATCTCTGGATGCTTTGGGTATGGTGGGAACCCACCATCCAGTGGTCAAATATTTCTGAATTTATCTAACATTCAGAATAGTAGTAGTGCAGATCCATGTAGTCCTTTGCTCTTTGCTGTATCATGTTCCTATGGGTTCTGATTCTGTTACAAGAGACTGATCCATAAAAGCTATATTTTATTGACTGTTTAGTTATTTATTTCCTTTTAGATCTGAGGAGTGTTGTTATAGAATGTAATTTTATTTAGTAGAGATTATCTTTTCTCTATGCTTTTCTTTAGCTTTAGCTAAATGTGCTTTCTAAGAATATAGTTAAGTTTCAGTTTTATGGCTAATGGGTTCTAGTTATTGAAGGCACCCTACTATTTTGATTACACTATGTAACACTTAATTTTATTCCTGTATTATAAATGTCATTTCCTAATTGGTTCTATCATAAAAAAAAACATGCAAAAGGTTTATTTAACTGCAAAAACTTTGTTTTTGTGGGACATCCTGCAGCACATTTTATTATAGTTTTTCAATGAATATCTCATAGTCTCAAACAATTCAACTTAGTTTGTGGAAGCCACAAAAATGAAGTTTCAGGAGTACAACAACTACTTTAAAAGTAGGTACCACACAATTAATCAGGAAATGATACTTTCAAACTAGGGACAGAATTGTTTTTAAATTTTGTTAATTGTATTATGGTATAGAGCCATTTGGTAAGTTTAAAAATAAGTAGAAAAATAAAAGCATGTTGATCAAGAAAGAATTTGAAGGAATTCCAGGGTCTCCCATTTGCTGTTAGTTAAAATGGATGATGCCCGAAAAGCTAAAATATCTGGATGCTTGCATAGACCTATATGGGAAACATATATTTGTCAACAAACAGATATTGCAAATACATGATAAACTTCCAAAGAATATTTCCTTCCATGGGGATTGACTCTCTGAAAGAATCTGTATTGCTTGGAAAAGTGGGGATCACGAAACAAGCTTTTAGGTAAAGAGAATACATATATACACTCAGTAGAGGCATTTGTGTGGTACAGACTATTAACATAAACAGTTATAAACTTTACTGAAGAAATAATGCATAGGCAAAATAAATACATAGAAATACATAAAAATAATACATAGGCAAAAAACATCAGCCTCTGGGTTTTTTTACTATTATTATTAATGGAGCTAATAACCTGCTAGGATTGCTAGGATTCAAACGGATAAAAATTAAACTAGTTTTTTTAACATTCAGATTAAGAAATCTTCTCATCTCAGCAAAGATGTTAGGAGGGTCAGATAGGAGAATTCTCCTTCTCACAATTCAGACAAAGGGCTGAATTAGCACTCCCCTTTAAAGCCCATCCACTCGTTAGGCCATGATAGATGCATAATCATTAATAATATGAGCAGGCTGAAAAATACTTAAAACCAAGCTGCTGAAGATATGAGATCCCAGACTCCCTCAACCCAGAAAGAAGAACGGAGACTTTCCTCCATCAAAACAGACAGATTAGGGATAGGCTTTTTCTCTTGCCATGCAGATAAGATGGGAAGTGTGAAAGACAGACATTCCCAGTTGCTAGCATCAGCCAGCAACACACTGGATACACCCCCTACACTCTTCATCTGTTCACAGTCATCTGGGTTACATTGAGGTAGGAGTGCCCCCGTGCCCCTGCCTGGTGCACCCTGCTCAGCTTAATCACCCCCAGCTGCATGTGCCATGAACTACGGGCCCTGCTAACACGCAAAGGTCAAGACATGGACCAGCCGCCTCTCCCTGTACAGCCGGCCAGGAGCGAAGGCCTCTACTAACAAATGCCCAAGGCAATTTGCTGTGCACAAGTCCCAAAT